AAGACAAGAGAAGATGCTCTTATCATACAGATTGAAGATTTTTCTGGTTTTCTGCATGCTTGCTGCACAGTCTTGGGTCTTGCAATTTTTTCTCCATAATAAAGCTGTGACTTCACACAGCAAGTGCACCTGTGCAACTGTGCCTGCAATTGCACCTGTGCAACTGTGCCTGCAATTCACCAACCAGACTTCTTCAGCACAACTGGCGGCTAGGTGACATAGTAACCACAGTATCATGCAAGAACTTCACAGAGCACTGTACTCTGAGGAGTACACAAAGTTACATGATATAACACAGAGATGCACACCCACCTTAAAATCTACAAACACCAGAAGACATGGCATTTGAGAAGTCTTTGGGTGTGTGAAAGAGCAGAGCAGCCACCAGTTCTCCATAGGTGATCAAGGGAGGATAATCTTGAGATGAAGACCAGAGACTTGTAGTTCAACATGCTCAACATCAGGGTCTGCTTTTTCCAGAAGGCCTCTTGCCCAGTGCAGTTTTTGGACTGTGCAGTTTATCTCCAATAAAGCAAATACTTTACTGCTCTATCTCCCAGAAATGTGATAAAGGGCAATTTGTATCAAGATGGACAAACACCAGGACTACAGTGAAGGGGCAACAGAAGCAGATGAGTCTTGTTTTTTACTCTGCAAGTTTAGTGCAGTTGAACAACTGCCCTCAAAACAAGGAGATGGAAAATAAGGCAGATCTTCCTAGGGCAAAAAAAGACAGTGGGAGGGACCTGTTCAAGACAGGGAGAGGTAAGAAGGGGCTGGAGGGGTATAGCAGCACACAGTCTATTTGAGCTTATATAGGACGGTCACCAACAATTGATTTTCCATTTGAGAGCATAATGTATGATAATTTCAAATTAAGTGTGCATTGCTTCACCCCTCAATAATTCTTTCTAGTTACTGTCTCAGAAGTCCCATGGTGGCATAGGGCAAGAATACAAGCCCCACAAGAAGGTTTGTCCCGCTGCAAAACAAAGCTTGTGGGGAACATGGAGGGAAGGGAACCTAGGGAAAATGTTGCTGAGACTCAGAGGCGAAGTGGTAGAGGGAAGCAGGACTGTAAATTTTGTCTGGAAACCATAAATAATAAAATCTAGTTTTTAACTAGTGCCAGAGAAATTAAGGTCTTCAAAACCGAAACCTCCCAGTCCTGCCCAACACAAAAACTTAGAACTGGGGTTAGGAGGAAGCTGTGCTTCTACAGAGAAAAGGAGGCTTAATAATTTTGGGTTGAAGATATGAGCGATAGGATCTGCATCTTTTTCTATTCACAATTACATATGAAGATTAACAAATCTTAAAAAATACTGATGTCACCAGTAGGACTCAGGTTTAGCTCTGGTATTTGTTTTTTCTTCTGTGTCTCTCCTCTGTCAAAACTCTCAGGCTGGCACACTGTATTTTTTAAACCTAAGTATCTCACTATTAGGCCCAGGCCTATACGTAGGCAGCATCTGTTTATCTCAGATGCACTGAGCCCAGCGCTTACGAACAGCAGCAAAAACATCATCTGCGGGCTGGCAGACACCAGTGATACAATACTGACACAGGATTGCTGATTTTCTTTGGTCACATCACTGCAGCAAGTTAAAAGCAGGTTTCAGGGCACTTCTATTAATTGTTTTCCAACCACATCAGGGCAAATAGTATATATGCACCTCTCTTGGGCTCTGTAATTCTTTCATCTTTGCAGTTACACTGATGGCTCTCCATGTTAGTACTGTGGTTTTTGTATTTCTGTCAGACATCTCAGAGCATTGATTAACAGCAGCTTGATGCTTTCTGGGATTTTCAAGGCTACTCTGTGCATCTCCATCCCTGGAGATTTTCAAAACCTGGCAGGAGAAGGCTCTGACCAATCTGATCTATCTTTGCATTTGTACCAGCTTAGGCAAGGAGGCTACACTAGAGACCTCTAGAGTCCCTTTCAGTCTAAACTGCTCTGTGATTCTTTGATATCTTCTCAAAAGCCATGGCATTTTCACCTCCAGTAGAGTTACTTCCAAAGTGGGAGATCCATTTCTTAATGTGCAGGCCCAAAGGGGTAAGAACTGCAGCTTAAAATTCCCTCTCAGGATCATGGGGAATCAAATCTAACCCAAATGTCATGTAATTACACAATATTACATCATGAAAGCATTCCAATATTTTTAAAAGCAACCATGGTTCTCCTCCAAAGAGAAGACAATGTTCTGAGAAGGCATTATGCCTCTCCATGTCCTTCCTTGACATCTAAGCATTGTCTGTCTGTATCCATAAACCTCCTTCCTTTCTTAATTAAGCAATGTTGCAGAAAGTTAAGATGTTGAAAACTGGACACAGCAAGTCTGCTCAGCATCATACTGTGCAATGCACTGTGGTACCAGGTCTCCCAAGCTAGCAACATCCAAGCTAGTGCCCTAGGAAGACCCAGGCTTAGCACTGTAGACCCTTTATATTGTATTTCAAGGTGTCATTCATTAGTTACAGAATCCATTCCAAGTGCTGCAGGAAATAGTGGATGCACATCTTCTGTTACTACAGACTGACAACTTCACATTTGCTTTACTGTGACTAAACTTGTTTCATATCCAAGAAAAGAAAGCCAAAGGCATGCCATAAGGCATGGTACAATGCCAGGAAATTCTCATGAAAACAAACATATAAAAAAATAAGCTCACTAGGTATTTTTAGTTAAAAAATAACATAAAAGGGGGCAAGAGATAAGAGATGAGGCTTTGTCACTT